AACTCAAAGAAAGTTCCGTTATTGTGAAATTTCGATTTTCACGGACTTTAGCATCGACTTTTTCGAGAAGTTCGGCGGTCACTATGCTGGGTCTCCCACTTCGATCTTCGTCGTGAACATTGGTTCGGCCATTTTGAAATCTTATGACCCACTGACGCACTCCACCTTCAGTGATAATGTTGTCCCCATACACTTCACGAAGCTGCCGATAGATTTCTATCGGTTTACAGTTTTTTGCAGTCAGAAACCTTATTACTGAGCGCACCTCGCAGCTCGCGGGATTTTCAATTAACGCAGACATTTCAAACCGTCACAGTATCTGAACGGAGCACAGCACGAACCTCTCACTAGCACGGCTAGATGCAGACTGAGCTGCGCAACGCTCTGACCCCAAGATGGCCGCGCTAGCCCCGCCCCTAGCGGACACAGACGGAAACGTAATCTACTTCCTGGATGGCCCTCGTATAAAGCAAATTATTTTAAGTAAGGTCAAGCAGATATCAATTTGTACGAGTTATCTTAATTTAGAAAATACAGACATGAGTACTGAAGAAAGGTTTTTAGTAGTATTTTCTATTACAACAGATATGAAAAACATTCTTATTAAAGACTTTAGAGGAAAATGGTTTAGATATCAGTAATTTACTCGGCCAAGAATACGACAATGGTTCAAACATATAAGAGTTACACAATTTTCGAGTAATTATCATCAAATCGTTGCTTTTCCGAATTAAAAATTTAACCTAAGTTTAACATAATAAATAACTACACTTTAGCTTTTTTATGTAGAAAAATGATAACAACAAGCAATCACAAAAAAAGATAAATGTTGCACATATTATTACGATTGCAACAGTAGACACGAAATAAGGATTAAGTGATTTATCAAATGCGTCTACCCTTACGTACAAATTGGCATCAAGTATTTTCACGTTCAAACAAGACAAAAGAAAGCAACAGAGACAAACTCCTATCCTTGTTGCACATAAGCATTCTATATTGCGCAAGGCGCATAGGGAAAAATCCGTGCTTGTGATTGGACATACTTTCCTATGGAATTATTTTCTCTTGACGTATTGATGTTTAGGAGGGATTCTTACGGTTTTGTTTTCGTTGAATGTCGTGCATGAGCAACACGGAAATGTTAAAATTATCGTTTGTTTTCTTTTAACAATATTGCCAGATGAAAAGATTTACTTGCAGCGTTCTGTAGATGGATTCCTGTTTTATGGATTAATAAAATAATTTAAAGATGCTGTTAATAGCAGACACAAACTTAAGTGCTTAGATTATATAAATATCAAGTTCTAGAATTTAGTACAAAAAACAAAACACACTGGATTACCCAATGATTTCAGCCCAAATGTAAAGGCTGTGTGTGCTCGTAAGTATGTTATTATTGCAATTTTGTTGCCTTCGTTTCCTTTCGCATTGCAGAAAATATTTCCTTTGCAAATGCATATGTTATTTCAATGTTAGTATCCATGTCTTTCCCATTTGTAATATTCTGTTGCCTTAAATGAAAGAAAAAAAGTGCATTCAGTATTGTTGCTGAATTTATACACGTGTATAAGGAAAGGAAATTCCTTTTCTGATAAGCACTATTTTTACAGAAATGTACGAAAGATGTTACACATTAAAAATAGGCAATAATCATGAAGTAATATTATTCAATTTAAACATACATATCTTTATTTCTCAAATACGAATCTATACTAGTCTAACTTCAAAAGTTAATTTTTCTTATCCTGACTAACTACAAATACAGTCAAAAGTCTTTAATATGGACGTCCATAATCCGGAATGATCTATAATCCGGACCTCAAAGCTACAAACGTTCTGCGCATGCGTCAACGCATATTCCGTTAACGCATGTGCATAATACCTTTACGCATGCGCATAATACATTTACACATGCGCATTTAATGCATAATGGATGGTATAAGCTAAGCTAAAATTATCTAATTTATCTATTTCAGTTAATATTGCAGATTGCGTTCTTCCTTAATCTTCTAATTGGATCCGGCTTATTATTTTTTGCAGACTGTTAGAGCAATTTTATAAAAGTAAGCTTGAACTTTCGATTATGTCAAAAAGAATTTCCGATTCTGAAGCTACCAAAGGATCTACAAAGTGAAAGCATGTTTCAATGTTCATCAAACAAAAAGTGGAATTGCTGCAAAAAAAATGGATAAAGGCATATCCTTTGATTCTCTAACCTTTTGGGATATTTTTGATCCCTTTGGGGGGGGGAGACGACGCAGCGCACATTGAACTGGAAGTTGATCTGCCAGCACTATCCTTATCTTCAGGGCAGATGTTTTTATTTTAATTTCAGCTTATAATTCCTTACTAAATGTAGTATTCATCTCGATGTACTCCGTCTTTGATATGATTTAAATGAAATTCCTCGTCATTATAAATATCACGAATACACATTCAAATAGTTTTCTGGTTGCAATTTTCTAATGTCGACTATGCGTAATGTATGCTTTATGCATGCGCGAATTGAAAGAAATGTTTAATAAAGTAAACAAATAAATATTAAATTTATTTATTTATTTTTTGTAAATTTTGATACCCCTTTTATTTTGATACCCTTTAGATCATAATTGCTCTCTATTTCATAAATTATGGTTTCATATTTTTAATTTTATAATTTTTACATGCCATCTTACCAGATTTAAACTGATTATCTATAATCCGGAAAAACCGATAATCCGGAGTCGCCGAAGTCCCGACGAGTCAAGATTAAAGACTTTTGACTGTATAGTGAATTTAATGTGCATTATGTTAACTCACAACATTTTTGCAATCTGCAAAAACTGACTTGTTTCATATTTTTTGAGATTACATCTGCAGAGAATGGATATATAATGAACACGAAATAGCGAATTAATAATCATCCCACCTTTACTGTGAATAGTTTTAAATTAAGAATACATTAATTAAAAAACTCTGCACTGAATATTAATACACATTTACGGATTTAGCACCCTAGAAGAAATAACACTTTTTCTCTCTAGGAGAAAAATTCGCTACAATTTTTTAATTTAATTCACCACACTACAATGCCGTAAGAAGTGTAATGTCATGGCACCAAAAATACAGCGAACGTCATTAACAGTAATAATTTTTTTTATACTGCTATCAAAATGTAAACAATTGGTATAGAGGTGTGCTCTCGAGCCTATGCAATGGCTTCCTTAAGCGTAGAGGAAATGATCTCATTGGAAGCTATACCCGATCCCGAGAACGTATTTTTCCCCCATACGCGTGGTGCAGTACAGAATGCTTATATGCGCCCTGGTTACAACTTTCGGTCAAATAAGACAGTGTGCTAGGAGGAAGGGGTACTCAGATCTGGCAAGCTCCAGGCTGCCTAAACACCCCAAACCCTAGAAGCGAGCCAAAAAGGTGCTAACCTATCGGTCGAGCCGATGAGCTAAGGCTGAACTGAGTCTTTTTCTTAGCTCCTCGGCTCGACCAATACTCAAGAACTCGCATTCCACGTCCCCGTTCTGAAGGGATGATAAAAACATCTGCTATCAACAAGGGCCACAACCCTGGACAGCAGAAAGAAGTCACTTAAACACTATCAGACAGACCAGGCCACCAATCTGGCCTGCTAACACTACGTCATGGTATACAAATGTCAGCTTTAGGCACCCCCAGGGAACGCCAATGAAGATTATGAATATGCAGTTTTGAGGCTGGAAACCTCAAGCAGTTTAAAGTCTCGCTGAATTCGCCAACTCCATCGATGGAGGTGTTTCACCCTGGACAACCATGAATATCTGACTATATAGCTCCACCATAACCAACGGCCAAGACATTACCATACGGTCCCTGCCAAGCGTGAAACAGCCATCACTAGCGATAACTTTAGTTCCTGTGGAGATTGAATTTAAATACCAATAGCCGAGTCTGCCTCTAAGTACAGATCCTAATCAGTAGTTTCCCAGGTTTTACCCGAGTTGACTTTCGGAAGGGCGTTCAAATAAGACAATAATTTTCTTGTGCAGACAGGCAGCGAGATGAACTCCCTGTTTTAATGACTGACCACCGTCTTTTTGACTCACCGCCGTCGTGCACTGCACGGCATTGCACCTATTGTCGGTGTGGGCCTGAGCTAGCCTACCACATTGGTACTTTTCCAATGGGGCAGTCATAGCACCAATCACTCACAATTATCCCATGTAACAGTTAAAGCTACCAAAACACACTAATTTGATATTGAAAAAAAAATGGTCTGATGATTCCGTTATTCCATAAATTGAATCTGACATTGGTAGATCAACATACCTCCTGAGCCAGATGGAAAGCTCTGGATATACTTGCTTAGTAGTACGGCTGGGCATTATGATCACATACTCAACATAAAATAGTACTCTCTTACCAACTGATCAAGGAAATAGCATAACTCATGCTTTCAGATGATTTCCATTTTGCATGCTGCATGTATTGTGATTTATAAAAAGCAAATACTTTCATTTTTTAATATGCATATTCTTTAGAGCAGCATAGCTAAGTTTACATGCGGTTAATCTCACCAATAGGAGAAAACTGCACTTAGACTCTTCTTAAACACACACACAGACACTCAATAAGAATAAATTGCTATTATTGCAGCAGATTAGACTGTTTTACAATATCCATTCAGAATAACAATTAGATAATGCTTGACAAATTTAATTCTCTAGTTCTCCATTAGATGCACTACAATCGCTTTTATTCAATCCAGTATGCCTACCTTGAGGCAGACTTTAGTCTGAGGCAAACTTCAGATGATAAAAATGCATATGGCCTTTCCTTTAAACTTACTACAGATATTATTTAATGTTTTAAATGAAATTATATACAAGGTTTAACACATCTTAAAAAAGTGCAATTAATCGCATTTTAAAAATCGTATTTCTGTAATTCATTTATATGAAATAAATATGCAACAAAATATATATCAATATTAGATCATAAATAAAAGGAAATGTAAAACTAACCTAGCAGCTGATGAACAGGCCAAATCCTAACTGAGTTTCATTTTCATAGCTTCACAAATCCTTCAACTAAACAGAAAGGAAAAAAGAATCTATTTACATTGTGGTCACAATAAAGAGTAATATTACATCCAAAATATAAGCATTTTTAAATTTGCATTTTTAAAACTTAAGTAATGGGAGAAAAAATAAAATTTTAGTGGTATACTTCAACTTTTATTAAACTCTTTAAATCTCATATTAGCATATTTCCTTCCCCTTACTGTGCTTTATAGATGCGTCATAATGAGATATTTATATCTTAACTTGAAAAAATATAATACTCAAATGAATACAGTTACTTTCTTTGGATTACAAATGTTCATAACATGCAGTACATCTGTTTTTCTATTTAAAGAAATGGAAATTATCTCTAGGAGACATACTTAAAAAGTTCAAAATACTGAGAGGAAAATTTTACAATAAAAGTAAAGCCGAAGCATTTGAATGAAGATAAATACCATTTATACAGCAAAACAACGAATTAAACTGATGTCTGATAACCAAGTACCTCATAATATACGTTAAACAAAATTGTAGGAAATCTCTTAAATAGTATCTAAAAAAAGACTTTCTTGTATTAAAATGCATGAGAATTAATTTGTTAAAATTAATATGAAAATATGAAGATACTATGAGCAGCTAAGTAAACACAAACCAGCATTTCAAACTACGATTTCGCTGGGTCAGCTGCACATTCATCTTTTCTAATTATTTATGGATGGTTTGAGGCCTAAGAAGTAGTAGATACAACAAGAATAAGCGAGATTCAAGTTAAAGGGGAATAGAAATGAAGATACCTCATAAAATATAGTAATGTTAATACTATCATGCATTTTTACAGGAATGAAAATTTCTTTTAAATAAGTAATATTGAGATAGTTACAAGTAGTTAATCCATGACTATTTTTCATTCCTTACATTCTTATTATAACCGCGTCCTTCAGAAATTATATTATTCGCATAATTTCCACTCTCGATTTTTGGATGATTAAATTAGTAAAAAAAATCTGATGTATACAACATGACTTCCTTGTAAGGAATATTAAATTATACGCTTTTTTTCCTACATGTCATTTAAACCCATTTCCTCGAATTTCATTACAGGTATATTTCTTATTCAATTCAGTTCTCACTTCGCAGCAATGTAAAAATACATAAAAACTGAAACTATCTTCACAGTCTCAGATCTGGGGGGCGCAAGCCGGGGTCTGTGCCCCGAGCGGCAACTTTTGTGGGCGGCAAATTCAAGCGTGATGCTGGATCGTATTTGGAATGCAACTTTGAGACAGCATTAGTAGTTTCAAAAAACCTCTTTTAAGAATATTTATAATTACAAAAAAACCTTTTAATGGAACGAATAGTTAAAAGAAAGGTAAGTATAGCCGAATATGACTCTAGAGGCTACTGATTGGTTGAATGATGTGAAAAATTCAAAATTTGCTTGGAAAAATCATGAACTCTATTCAAAATATTAAGGATGCTAAAACTACAGCCAAAAAATTCATCGAAGGAGTTAAAGCTACTCAGATCCTGATCAACTTTGCTGAGGACTTATAATAATTCTCGTTACCTGCTTCTGTAAGTTTCCTGTATTTTCTCACTCCACGCTTCTCCTGAGCTAGAGCCTGCCCAGGCTTAATCTATCTCCTTTCTCTCTTTTCTTTTTGCCAATGATTCTTTACCTTCTTTTCCGCTTATCTATGTTTTTTCTCAGCAACCTTCCTCACTCATTACAAGAACTTCTTTGATTTCCCTGCTCAATCCCAAGCTCGTATATTGGCTTTCCTTCTCTCTTCCTTTCCCTTCTTTTCCGGTTTTCCCCAACTCTACTCATCTTTACTCTTCTGATGTGGAGGTGCCTGGTTTTGTTACAGTGACTCCAAAATATTTTCTCATTGGCATTGGCAAACATAAAATCAGAGAAAGGACAATGGAGGAACTCTGACACTGACGTCAGAAGACCCGGTTCCTGAGGCTCCTGTTTCTGCAAATCCAACACCCCGGACCAACCTCACTTGATTTCCACTACTGCCACAAGGAATAATTGCCCCTTTTATGCAGGCTCCCTTCAGGATGTCTTGCTCATGGAGGTAGGAAGTCCTTTCTTAGGCAGTGGAATTTCTCGAGGCAGCGGAATTATTTGAAGCCCCCTTTAGTTCTCCCCGGTAACTAATAATGGCCGAATTTCCCATTCGCGTCAGCGTGTTTAATGATGTTTTGTCAAACGAATTTTCGCATTTGAAAGAGAGACTTCCTTTAGAACACTGTATTGTAAAATGTGAAAAAAAAAAATTACCTTTAAGTGCAAGGTGTCTGAAATTGAAGTATCACGCTTCCGGATTAGAACCATCATTTACTTCCAGTTCTGTTGCAAAAAGTCAGCTACAGAACACAGCTTTAGGTACTAGTGTTGCATCGTGTAACACTGTTAAGGTTTGGTACTGAACATTCAAAAATAAGAACTATGACATTCAAGAAACAGAGCACTCTGGCTCTAATGATGTAAATGCGGCCCGCCTGCGAGAACTTGTAGAACAAGATCAATATGCACCAATTAGAGAGTTTGCAAAGAAAATAGACGTTAGTGCTTTGTTCATTAGTCGCGCTATGCATTGCATAAACTTTACATACAAGTTCAATCGCTGGGTGCTACATGAGCTGACTTAAGCAGATACGGATAGACGTGTTCGGGCCTGTGCTAATCTGCTTGAATATCAACGCAAGGACAAAATTTTAGGCCGGATCGTCACTTGTGATGATCAGCTACGCATCCGCAATCTCAGTTTTGCACAAACAACATTCAAGACACAACTATAAAACACATAATCTCTGACTTTCACTCTAGGTATACCAACAAATTCACTCGCCAAGAACATTGTCCCAGACCGGCCGTCGGAAGTTATCGGCTATATAAAAAAAATTTCAGATCGAAAAAAACCCAGAAACTGAAAAGATCACTAACAAGATTATTAAACTGCTGCCTCTAAAAATGATCTTCAAGTTGACAAAACTTTTTAATGTTATTCTACTCTGGCAATACTTCCCAGCCGAGAGGAAAACGGCTCGTATTAATCCTATTCTCAAGCCACATAAGCCAGCCAATGCGCCTAATTCCTATACCATGCCTAAGTATGCTCATGGGAGCACTTATCCTCAAACGTGTAAAAAGTCATCGAGACAAAAGGAATATTCTGATCCCTCAACAATTTGGATTCCCCAGGAATTTATCAATGTCTTAGCAACTATATCGTGTTGTTGAACACATCCCGGAGGACTTTCATCAAAAGAAATTCACCGGAGGACTGTTTATCGATATAGCCAAAGCTTTCGATTGTGTTTGGTTAGACACAATTATTTACAAAATTCCCAATCTGGAGTTCCAAGGTTGCATTACACACATAATTAAATCCTATTTAACAGGTAGACACTTTGTCGTTCAAATTTCTGACACACAGTCAACCCGGTCGTGCTATTTTAGCAGGTACTTTATTCAATATTTATGTGCATGATATTCCTAGTACACCTCACACTATACTTGCAATGCATGCTACTGGTACAGCGATCCCTGCTTTCATGTTTTTTTTCCTCTCCCCCCCAACTTTAAGGACATTTTATGGCAGAAAACTTTTGTTACAATCAGATACTTGAAAAGGATGCGTTAGATGTTTTAAAGCTGTAAATATGCAACTATTTTATCTCTCTTACAAACAAAACATTACTTTTATTCTAGCCTTATTAAATGCCCAAAAAAGTTAACTCCCCCCCTTTTTTAAAATTTTTTCCTTGACTGTTTCTGCCGCAGAAACGAGATTTCTTCTTTTGCATTTCACAATATATTAGTCTATCTACTCAAGAAAATGTGGCAGAAACTGTAAAATCCATTTGCTATTAAATTTTCACATTTCTCATGCATATGAAGCGATCTTTTGTTAGAATTAACTTTTACAATCAATTATTACAGTGGTTATTTCCGTCAAATATTAAATAATGAAAGAAAAGAAATTAAATAATGAAAAATTTGCATGAATGTATGCATGCTTCTCGCATAGGTGAAAAACAACGGTACCTAGAGCCAACAAATTTTCAATAGCCTAATTCTCCACCAGAACATGCCCCTGGAAGTCGAAATTTTGAATTTCGAATTTGCTTTATTATTTATTTCATATTTTGTATTATATATTATTATCTACATCATGTTTTGATTAACAAACTGAACGATTGCAAAGAGAGCAGTGGCAACACTTTACAGGGGGGAAAAAATTATCTCCAGCACACGAGACTGTCCATCAGAAATTCTAAAGATATACTGTTTTTAAATATTTTATGATTTTGCTGTTGAATGGAATTTTATGTGGCGAAAGCGCCAAAAACGTCATATTTAATAAATAATGTAAACGCACAAAACGTTAATAACAAAAAAGACAAAAAAAAAAGTTTTGTAAAGCCATCTTAGTAAAAAAACTGAACATTGATATAATAAACAGAGAAAAGATTGGGGGAAAAAATTGTATGCCAACATTTAACGCTACATCGAGAAATCTAAACATATATGCTGCTTTTAAAATTTTGCTGTTGCAAATGGCGTACGTGCGAAGAAAATGATTCTTAAAAATAAAGCTAAAATGACAAGAAAAATGAGTTACTAGGAGTGAAATATCAGCAAACCGCTTTACTGCGAATTCGGCGAGAGCATAAAAAACCTTAACAAATCCTTTTGCGCAACCGTTAAAATCTGAAACCTTCCAGATACTTTTTTAAAATTTATTTATTCATTTAAAATTTTTCTAAAGCGTTGAAACTATGTTTTAGAAAGAGTCATTCAAATCTCATGCAACAAAAGAAATTCGTGTAATGTATTTAACTTTTAAAATTCTATCATTATGCCTTAAGATCAGTGCGACATCGGAAATTCTTACCTAAAGTATTAAAATTAAATTTATGGAAATGTGAAACTCAGATTTCGATCATAAGTATCTGGTTTCATAACTCTTGATCACTTAATGCAAGATACTTAAAACTGAAATCGC